CTGCCAGACCCTGCGGAGCAGGCAGCTGCCCGTACGGCATTGCTCCGTGTTCCTCCTTCCCCAGGGCCACAGGATCGAGGAGGGATTGTGTGCCTCTTGGATGGATCTGTCTCGCCCGCAGCAGCACTCGCGTGCTGCATGACTAAAAAACTGTCCAGAGAACCACCTTTTTTGAGTATCATGGAATGGTTTGGGTTGAAGGGACCTTAAAGCCCACCCAGTCCCACTCCCTGCCGTGGGCAAGGGCACCTTCCACTGGAAAGCGGAATTACAGATCAAACATGAGAAATACAATGGGGAAAAAAATAAGCTCAGCACTTGTAGCCCCTTGGCAGCCCGTATTTAACCAAATCCTCCTTCTCTTGTTTCCGTAATGGTGAACGGCAAAGAAAATCGCGGCTCCCGTGAACACCTCCCCGTGGAACGAAGGGCGAGCAGCAGGAACCCCACAGCTCATCTCTGAGCCACCCCCGTCGCCTGCTCAGCTGCCGAGTCACGGGCCTTTTAGCCCTTTTACCTGCCCTGCCTCGAGGAGGCTGACAGATGCGGCGGAAAGCTGGCTGCCAGGGCACCTGGCTGGCAACGAACCACTGGGAAAACGGGAGAAAGAACACGGACGCGCGGCAAAACCAATGTCCACAAAGCGCCCGTATCCCGAGATGCTAGAGAAATCACGCCGACCTAAGAATTACCATTTTCTACTCTTATTTATTGAGAGAAGAAAATGAGAGAAGCAGCAAAATTGCCTCCGAGAAGGCAAAGAGGAGTTGCGGGAAACGCAGGGCCTGTGGTCCGAGCGCCCGGACGCAGAACAGAAGCGCCTCTCCCCAGTTGTGCTCCACTGACACAGAAAGCACGCAGAGAAAACAGCTCTTGTTTACCACCATCCCTGGCTACAACAAGAGAATAAAAAAAAAAAAATGCAGATCTCCTGATATCACTGGTAATTGTTTCATCCCCAACAGATGCTGCGGCCTGAATGAGCTCATTCTGCACCCCGCGCTGATGTAGGCTGCGTTCCCCACTTGCTACTTTTGAAACTGAGGAAGAATCGTGCTTTGCTAAAAATACAACCCAGGCTGAATGGATGGCTTTGTGGGGGCAGGCGGGTGTCTTCTCAGAGCCTCTCCATGCTGGATGCAGAAGACAGGGAAGAGTTGCACCAAGGATCTCGGGAAGAAGCCCGTCTTTCATTGCTTGCGCGTGCTCACACGGAGGGAACTGTTGGAGTAGCTCTCTCCCTGCGAGCCAGTCGTTTTGGGTTTTTCTTCTCTTTTATAACATGTGTCAGGAGCCCTAATTCAAGTGCTCCGGCCCCTGTCACCCATGGGGACCTGCCGCCTGGACAAGCAGCGGCCGTGCGTTCCGCTGCTCCCCTCGTACCGGAGGCCGGGGCGATGCAGCACGAGGTGGAGGCTGGTGCCTGGTGGGAGAAGGAACCATCGCAGGGCTCCTTCTCCCCCCGTGCCCTGCCGAAAGCTCAGCCCCTGCTTGTTCCCAGAAGAGCTCCGAGCACCACCGACACAATCCCACGCTTGCCTAACAACTTCTGCCTCCTCCCCGCAGCTTCCACGCGCTGCCCCCGCGCCAGCGCCGATCCCGGCTCCCAGCCCTCCTCCTCCAGCTCCCAACGAGACAAACGCAGACCCACCTCGCGCCGTACCTCATCCTCCAAGCCGTCGGGGACCCCGGGGTGTGTACAGACAGCACCTCGCAGGCCGGGGGGTGCTGGCGCACCCGAACGCTGCCCAGCTATGGAAATAGGGCGCTGAAGCCGGCGGCAGACTTGCTCCCTCCACCCTCACTCCTACTGAATTTCCTGCCTCCGTTACGAAACGGCGACAAAACCCCTAAAATACCTAGGACTTAAGGAAAGGCTCCAAAATCCCATCCTGGCCAAGCAATCTCTATTCGGATGCTCTGACAAAAGGGACACACCTGCCTTCTCTGAGCATCCTTGCAGAGGCGTTTCCTTTCCTAGGATACGGTGCCTTTATCCAGCACGTTTTTGGGTTGAAATCCAGTCCAGATTCTCAGCTGTCAGATGTTGTTCAGCTGCCGGGGTAAAATAAGTTTGGTGATCTCAATACAGTCTACAGCGGGCAGATGTCTAGAGCTTAAAATTAGCTGTCGTATTTGCCACTGGACATACGATCCTCTCCCCCTCCCTTCTCTCAGGACTCGGAAGAGAAGCCAAACACTATGTGGCTCACAGAGGTCCACAGGGTGT